AGAAAAGAAAAAACACTTGCTAGTTTCCTAGTTTGACATGTTGGACAGCTAGATAGTCGCAAACAAAGGCTCATTTCATTTGTGACTCCATTCTTGCTTTAGTATGATCTAAAATAGGCATCATAGTAAAAATATTCGTGGTCAGATAAATTATTTTATTTGTTCAATAGAAAAAGTACATCTCGTCTTTAATCGTGTACAATTTTGTGTAGCATACCAAACGTGCATATTTTATTAAAGTTATAATTGCAGCAAAAGCCCCAAACATTTGAAACATTAGCAGACTTTTTCCAAACCTTTGATTTGGTCAAAATCAATTTACTTGGTCAACTGACGGAAAAATGGATGAAAACAATCCAAAAGGACCTCACATGCAATGGTTTGAAAGGTTAGGGGTGCAACAAATCAAAGGTTTTGGTCTTGGAGAAGTCTGCTAATGTTTCAAAGGTTTGGGACTTTTGCTACAATTATCCCTTTATTAAATTCAGATTCTATGGTTATTTGTAGGACTATTACCCAATTTTAAATCACATGAGGGAGAGGAAGATAGAGATAGGCCAATGGCATAAAGTATTTAATGTGGCTTTAGGCCTAATCATCCCACTATTGAATGTTTTCTGGAATATTGGGAAATACTGTAGTGACTAGTGATGGCTGGAGCCTGGAGGTGGAAAAGCCTTGGCAGTATTAAAGCGGTGGCATTGAATTATTGATATATGCCCACATTGATGGTGAAGGGCATAGATAATGTAAATCAATTTCTGTGGATGCTGTTGTATATATTACATGCATTTATCACATCTGAATTTCAATACCAGAGATAATACATACCAATTTGGCTTCAGATTTGTTGCTAGCTAGAGTTCATCATCAATCTATGTGATAGTAGTTCAATAAATAAAAAGTAATGTTATTCATTAACATGGTAATGAACAATAGTCTGTGACAGTAACATTATTCATAACTAAAAGAATATGGCTATTTATCAGCGGTGATAAGCGAATCAATCTATGTGACAATGGATCAGTGGTGATGTATAGCATTACTCGTATAAAGATATTAATCTTGTCGAATTTGTAAATAAATCCTAGATAATGTGGAGATTTCCTGAAGAATGATCGAGGGTAGTAGTAATTAAAACTTTTGGTAAGAGATCTTGCACTAAGCACTGAGGAAGTGTTATTATTTCAATAGTTTCAACTTAATCTGACATGTGGAAATAATAAGGAAATGATCTCCTCAATCCCTAAAGAGCAATGTTACAAGCATCCGTCTATGTGGTAGTGGGACAACGACCACATTATCCTACAAAATTGGGATGTATTTTATGATTTATGCGATGCAATAAATTAAGTATAAAACATATTCTTGATAGAATGTGGTGTTTGTTGCTTAAAATTTATGATATGATTTGGCATGTTTTTATCTTTTCTTTGAAGAGTACTAGGTAATGGTTTAAATGTGATCGACTGTTGGAGGATAATATATCTCTTCCTGAATTTTCATTCCACCTTATATTGGATGTACAAGAGGTATGCCACACTTGCACATGTATTTTACTCACAATTTACTGAGTCTGTTGGATAAGCTCGACTCGACATGACAAGAAAAAAGTCTTGTCCAGATTGACATTTAGCACACACTAACTAATTGAGGTGTTTTGTAATCCTTTCAAAACTTTGAATATCGAAGTGACAATAATTTTTCAAATTGCGTATCTACAAATTTGAAAATAACACTATATGTACCGAGCTATGTAATTAGTCCTTCTGAAGTAATTGTTTTGTTCGTTGCATTTCTTACTTCATCATCTTATATAGGACCCGACTCGACTTTTTTCATCTTAAAAACAAGCAAAATATTAGCGACACATGTTTTTTTCCTAAGAAAATGTATTGACATTATTAGATTATTAAAAGTAGCCTTTTTTAGTTCTTATAAAGGATGATTAGGTTCATATAAAACTCTTAAGATTCCATTCCCAGCCAAAAAACATTAACTTTTGGGTCCTCGCAATCTTTTATAAATTAATCAAAAATCTAATCTTCAAGACCTCAATTTGACCAGAGAAGAAAGTGTACTACGAAGAAAGGCATACAAGTATTAATGTACAATCACCATCGGATATTATGTTTTAAGGTATCCAGTTTTTGCACGGAATGTTTTCTCCGTCATGTCCCTTTTAATCAATGCCGTTGATCAGGCCCGCCTGATGTTGATGAGTAGACCACTTTCAACGGCGTATATTTATGTTGGTCCAAATTTTATCCTTTAATTTCCTCAATTCGGGGTACAAGTATAAAACTAGAAAATATTCAAAAGCTTTTATCATTAATCACAAGGGTTTGGCTTTGCTATACCTAATCCAAGTTTCTCTTTTTTGTTAGTCGTTCTTGGCCGGCCAAGAATTGGACGATATGTAAAAGTTGAAAGGAATTCTTCGACAAAGGGTCCTTGTAAGGTTTTATACTATCGGGCATGTTATCATCTATGATAACAGTAGTTTAAGTTAAAATCAATATTTCATTTTAACTAAATATTTAATAGTGTCCACAATTTTTCAACCACACATTTCATAAACTTTTATCAAAATCTACTAAAATTTTGAAACCAAACAAAGACTTAATTGGCTGGTGACGCCTATATTACTCGTGTCATTTAGAGCATATTTGAGCCTCATTTTTTTTATTTCAAAAAATGCATTTTGGAACAGTGATTTGATGGGAAATCTATGGTTGAAAAATAAGAAAAAAAATTGAATTTACGTGTAATATTATTTTATTAAAACATTTATAATTAAAAATAAGATAGATAATAGGTATCAAGCACAGGCCTAAATCTTAGTATAAGGTGTAGAAAAAGCTTGTGCCATAATCCAATTATTGAGATTTGTCC